GGCTGATCTCAGCAATTTTGAGATTAGAGCTTTATTTCAGTTTTAAATCTCAAGCTGAATGGAAGAACTGGAAGCAATTCCAATTGAAGCCTTCGGAGGGGCCTAGAATTTTTTTTATTTATTTAGTAACAGAATTTATTTGAAAACACGTAGCCTTAGTGATGCTTCTCTTGTTTTTTTTTTCCTGTGTATTTGCATGGGCTGTTGCAGAATAGGCTCCTTTCTTGTGAAGTGACAAGTGCTTTTTCCTTTAAGTGATGTACAACTGTGGAGTCTTAAAATGCACGTGAAGCAAAAAGCGATGTTAAAGTGTGGTGTGTTTGAAATCTGTGGAGTTATTCAGTAATAGCCTTTGAGTCTTGGTGTTAGGTAAACCAGTTCTGTTTGTAAACTGTGTTCAGAGCAGTTTAACTGTTTATGTTGAGGAGAGGGTGGAGAAAAAGCAGTTTGAAAGGAGTTTAAGATGTTTATAAACAATTGCCTTGAAGTGCTCAGTTTCAGCGGACCAGCCAAGAATGACACAACATTGTGCAGGGGGCCTTAGTTAACCTGGAGAAGTTATGATCTAAACAGATAAGACAAGGGAAGGCTGAAATAATTGCTGAGCTCTTGGGGTTAGATATCTTACGATGGAGATGGCATGGTTTGATTAGTCCTGTGGCCAAGAACAGATCTTCAGAAGTTTAAATCAAAACAGCTGATTAGTAACTCTTCTGGTTTGATTTGTAGATCCTGCTCTGCTTCATGTGGGCAGCCTGTGGCTGATGTAACCTTCCTTTCTTGGTCTGAAGAGCATCTTTCACACTAGCATCACAACGCTCCTATTGTGTATAGGGCTTTGTGTTACCTGTTATAAAATAAGTGTAGAGTTATCAAGTCAATGGCTTAATCCTTATTTTTTAAAACAGATCAAGTAGGTAATTACTTCTGATTTCTTCAAGATGAAAGACTGCCTGAAAAAGTTTATTCTCTGACATAGTGTCTGTCTAGCACTTTACTTCAAAGCAGGATGAACCATAACCAGAAGAAACCCCCCACCCTCTGCTCCCTTCCCCTCAAAAAAACCCCAACAATCTTTCAGAAGGTCAGGGGTTTTTTTTTTTTGTTTGTTTTTTTTTTGTTTTTTTGTTTTTTTGTTTTTTTTTAGCTTATGACAGCTTATGAAGTTCAACATGGTGTCATTAAACTTGAGGGTAAAATGACAGATGGAAAGTAAATAGATTGACCTACTGCCATAGACTGGATTGCTTCTCTTCCTGTCAGAGGAGGGTAAATCTTGCTGGAAATAAACCATACCCAAACAACAAGTAAAAAGCAATGTGGGAGATGAGGGATACTTAGCACAGCACAGGGTGTTTTGTCTGGACACTTGTTCAGAGTGAGCTCTTCGGCAGGTGTATTAAGACTGTTTGCCTGAAATTTACATTCCCTTCAACTGAAGGGAATGGAGTAATATTTTAAAACAACTGCTGTCGTTACAGATTCTTCTAGACACTGCTGCATTTTCGGTGGTAGAATTTCCCAACAAATGCTTTTCTGTGAACAGATGAGTTGCTGTCGGTGTCTTGGTTGTCTCAAGGATATTTAATCTGCAGAATAGGAAGAAAATTCATCCTCCTTACTCAGAGATGGCTGAGGAAAGAGCTTCCACTTCTGTTAACATATTTTTTTTTTTTAACCTCAAGGAATTGTTAGTTGTGAACTTTGAACCATGGTGTGTAAACTGTTTCTTGGGCTACAGAGGTGAAAATACAAGTAAACAAACAGTTTGCTCCAATGCCTTCTCTTGTTCTATTAGAGTATTCCTATTAAAATCTCACCGTGCCCCTTTCTGAACCAGTGGTGCGCTATCAGCCTGTTGTCCTGCAAGCACTGGTCCTTCTGCACTGACACTGCCTGTATCAGTCCTATGTCACTGCTCCAGCCTTGCCTTGTCCCCTGTACTGCCTGGCTACACTGGGGCTGGAGGGGGCCACACTCTCTATGGTTCCACCGAAGAAGAGACGCTTTGTGTGAAGCGTCTGGGGCCTTACTGAGTGTGTTCAGCATCGGAACTGTGTTGTGAGTGTCCTCCTGCACTCAGAGGGTTCATGTAGTCCTGATGCTCTGAAAGATTCAAGTGGCCTTTGTGACAGCTCTGCAGGGAAGATCAAGTACCTTGGTCTTTAAGAGCTTTAGATGCAATTGAACTGTAAATTTGTCTGCTACTGGATGGGTTTTGTTTAACAGTATGCTTTGATTACAAGCCGAGTAATACTGTAAGACCTTGCAGTTGCTACTGACCAGTTGTGGCAGGATGGCAAAGGAAGCATTTAAATATTCTCTTCACTTACCTCTATGATGAGCTTGTACTAAATCAAGTTTGTGAGTATTTTATCTAAAAGGCAGCTATTCTTTTATTATGACCAGATAAAGATGTGGTATTTGTGTTGACAGGAGGGAGAAATTTGCCATCTTCTCTCTTGGCTGTTATTAAATAGTCTCTTTATTGCTCTTGCATAGCACAGTGGACTTAGTTCTGCTGCTTATTATATATTCCTAAGTTTGTGATGACAGAAAAATGTTTAACTTGAAAGCTTTGTGTTAGGTAGCACAACAGTTACAACAATTAATAGGATGCTTGTTAAAGGAACATTCACAGGTTAAAATCAGTCACAATTACACTGAGAAGCAGCTAAGGGTCACTTGGCTTCTCCAGAAAGCAGCTTGACTACTACTGTCAGAACAGACTACTCTTGAACTAGGACAAAACAGAATTCTCTACAACGTACCAAGAGCAAGCTGTGTTATTTTGGGAACACAGAAAGTCCCCAAACTATCTGATTGTGTGGTCAATCTGTAGCTCTTAGGTCTTAAGTGTGTATGTGCAAGAAAGCTGAATTCTAGTTTACTTTGTGGACCATAGGCAAAACAAGCCTTTCAGCAACAACTTCTGGAGTTCAGATCCTGCTTGTTGTTTTCTTCCAGTTTTCCCACATTTCTGTGGCAGGGAGCTCTATTCTTTTCCTCTCTGGTGACTAAGAATTAAAAATCAATCTTGCAATCTTCTTCTGATTTAGAATGTCTGTCCAAAAGCTGATTTCACTGTCCCCAACAAATGTGGTTTTGCGCTGTACAGGGAAAACCTATGGAGAAGTAGGAGTTGTTACATCCTATTTCTGTACTAAGGAGTGTCCTGGATGAGGGAGCTGATATATAACATAATAGAGAAGATTACCAGGGTAAAATATCTGTCCTCACTTACCAATGTTTAGCACTGAATGAACCTTTAAAGATGATTAATTTGCATTACTGTACTAAATGTATGTAGCAAACAGGTGTGAGTAAAAAGCTCTGCATGGAAAAATACTGCTGCTCAGATGTTTGAAAATTGTGTCCTGAGGGCAATTCTTGATTGTGGGCATGTTTGTTCTTGTATGCAGTAGTCAATGAGAACTTAGTTTGATTTGTTGCTTTTCAGAACATCAAGTCATGACAAGGGGGGAAAAAAATCATCACCATCAGTGTACCCTGGGGAAGTTGTCAGGCTGGCCATGCAATTGTCAGGCTCAAAAGACAGGGCACATGAACTTGGTTGCTTGGAGCAAACTGCTTTAAGGGGGAAGTTTGGACTGGACAGCATCCAAAGGTCCCTTTCCAGGCTAAATAGTCTTATGGTATGTTTGTATGATCCCTTAGTCTCTGGTTAATTTTGTTTAGGGCAGCTGGTTGCCATGAAGTTTTTTCCAATGGAATACTCAATAACTTCTACTGTAGGCTTTATATTTCCGTACAGTAGAACTAGATAGTGTTGGTGTGGCAGTTCCAGTGTCTTACTTTGAGAATCCTGGTAGGCTCATCATTTCTGTGCTTCTGGATTAAAGTGGGCAGCTGTAAATCAAGGCTGATGTAGCCACTTGCTACAGCAGTGTTTTCTGAACAGTCTGCTGGTCTCCTCGCAACACTCCACCAGGAGATGAACAGCTGGGGTCCTTTGTTGTTCTCTGAGGACACCCCAGAATTTCCCTTATGCCATGATGTGTCTGAAATATTCACATTAGGGGATTTTTTCTATGTGGGAGTCCTGACTGGTCACATCTTTTTGTTTCAGTTGCTTCTGCTTTTATCCTCCATGTGCTGTCCATAGAGATGCTGCTCTGTGCTAATCAGTGTGGCAGCTACTGCTTGTGCTTCTGGTACAACTACTGTGTCCAGCTACTCTTAAAAAAAACAAACAAACAAAAAAGGGCAGTATTATTTTTAAGAAGTCTCCAGCACTTAATTACTAGGCTTGCATAACACACAAACAAAGGCTTGTTAGCTAGGGCTTGTTTATTGAAGCTTGCTCCTTTATGGCTTTGCAACATTAGGAGAAGAATAGGAACTGAGAATTTCTTGTAGTAAAGCAAGAATTTTTTTTTCCCCTCAAAGCAAATTAGATTTGCAGCATCAAAAGGCAGGAAGATTGTAAAATAAATGCTAATGCCTTGTCATAAGACTTTCTTCAACTTGTTCCTGCCAATTTGCTGTGTATCTCTGCTTTTTTCTGAGCCTACATAGGGAGGAGATCAAAAGACAGATTTCTACCTATAAGCAGATCTAAGGTATAACTGTATCAACATTAAAGAAATATTTTGGAAAGGTGTAAAGCCTTAAAACGAGAACAATAAAAACTGCTTAATTTCACGTTGTTTGAGAAAGTGGGGTTTTCCTTGGAAACTGCTCTAGACAGTAGTCTTGTAGGATGGGCTTACGAATAGGAGTGGCTTGTTAGAAACCTTTGGCACTTTTATTAATTGTACTGTTGTCAAAAATAGAAGGTTTTTGTTCTAATGCCTTGTCCTTTAAACATGTTTTGCTTGCCTTGTCCTTTAGACATGTTTTGCTTGCCAGCGCCCATTCTGTAAACTTGCTGGGCAGGGTTTTAATCTGGTCTTTCAGCACTAGTGAAACACTTTACCAGCATGTTACCACAATGTCACCAGTGTCACGGATGGCTACTGTGTTTCTTCTGTCTGCAGATCTAATTGGTTGCCTGGCACTTGATCTGTGGCAAGCAGGACAATGGCTGCCAGCAAGAGCAAGAACCAGAGTTCCTTGGCCCTCCATAAAGTAATTATGGTTGGCAGTGGAGGTGTGGGCAAATCTGCACTCACACTTCAGTTTATGTATGATGAGGTAAGTAATGTTGGTTCAGCTTCAATAAAGCACAAATTTCATACAGTTTACTAAGTTTTTTTTTTTAGTCGGAAAGGGGAACTAAATGTAATTAGCAAAAGACCTGATGACCTGACTGGCAGGTAGCAATGTAGGAAATATGCCCTCTGGGAACATCTTTGGCTAAAGGTGACAAAATTGTTGCTTATTAATGAAAGTACAGTCTACGGAAACCATGCATAACATGCAGGTTCTTGTCTGCATGTAGAGAAGCAGCTGGAGTTGAACTTTAATTTTGTTGCCGTTACTTTTAGGTCTGTTAAGACTGAAATCAGAAGTAAACATTGTAGCTCGTTCCGAGCCTGGTGGTGAAGTACTCATGTTCATAGCATGAATTCTACCATACTGGTGTGCAGGGAACTAGATTAGACAGCTCAGACTAGTATGTGAAGGAATACATGATCCTGTAATCCAAAAGCTAGCATTTATCTATGGGTGTTCACACATACTACAGTGATGTGAGTATCTGAACAGGTAATGTAGTCAATAATGAAGGCCAGACAGCTTGACTGGGCTCGTGGCACAGCCTCTTATACTCTGAGGCTGAGAGAAGGGAGGTCGAGAGGTAAGGAGCCTATGTTGGATGTGTGCTGTCAGCACAGAACTACAAGTTGAACTGGCAGTGGCTTTGTGGGAGTGATCAATATTGAGTGGACTAAAGTAGGTGCCTGTGCAATTATGGAGCAGGTTTTTGTTTTCAACAGCTGGATGCTCTCATATACACCTGTTAAAGCTTCAGACACCTGTACCTGAAATACGTTCAGATGCATTTTCCTGAAGTGTGAGATCTAGATAATGCCAGCAGATTACTGATAATTTACACTGCATCTCTGCGCTTAAATTGTACCAAAGTTGGTGAACAGTGTTTTGTGTAGCAAGTTTCTCTTGACTTGGCAAACTGGCTCTTTGATGTATTAAGTGCTTAAATAATTTGCTTTTTATAGTAAAACTAAAAAAAAAAAAAAGTGTCACTGAAGTGAAAGAAGGGATATGGACAACTACTGAGACTGTTTGACAGTAATTCTAAACACTAATCCTTTTCTTATCACCCTCAGTTTGTAGAAGACTATGAACCTACCAAGGCTGACAGCTATAGAAAGAAAGTAGTTTTGGATGGTGAAGAAGTTCAGATAGACATTCTGGACACAGCAGGACAGGAGGATTATGCAGCTATCAGAGATAACTATTTCCGCAGCGGGGAAGGGTTTCTTCTAGTCTTTTCAATAACAGAGCATGAATCCTTCACAGCAACAGCAGAGTTTCGGTAAGTAGTTTCTCTTCCAGGCAGGGTTTTCCCTGTTGCTATCTGGTTCCTGTGTTACTCTGACAACTCTGCTTAAAAACTACAGCTCTTTATCCTTTGTCTGTTACCGTTTGGTCAATAAAAGTGACACCTGACCATATGACTCTCAGTAACTGGTAACCTAAACCACAGTATTCAGCCTCTGGCTCTAGTTGTTGTCATGCCTACAACTTATGAGTACATTATGCCAGCAGCAACTTCAGGCAAGTAACAGATTCTTGGACTCCTAAAACAGGCATATTCAAGCCAATTTTCAGTCTTCATGGATGTGAAGTTTAATTATCTTAGAGCAGTACTTCTGGAATTAAGTCTGTCTTTTGGCCAGGTTTCAGACTCTGTATTGCTTACTGTTAGAAGCAGGTGCTCTAAGGAAAGGAAGGATTAGCCTCCACTCTCAGGTATGGATTGGTGCCAAACAAGGGTTGGCAGCCAAGATGTGCTATTGTAGGCAGACGTATTCCTAGAAAGATGCACGGTAGTAGTAGGCATTTCCATTTTTGTTCTTGAGATTAGCAGTTCTAATGTAAAAATTGACACCAGATTGAGCACAGAAACTACTTATGTAGTGTGGGGATTTAAATCATTGTTCTGTTTTAGAATTCATGTAGCCAGGTTCTTCAGGGCAAGTGTTCTAACTCTTATTTGATAATACTTCAGTGTAGAAGGTAATCTGGAGTTTACCTAGGACAGCTGTATAACTTGAAGGAAAACTTCCCAAAACATAGGGAAAGTGTTATGGGTTCCTTATGTTTGCCAAAATAAAAGCTTCCTGTCAGTCTGCCTTATGTTCCCTTTGTTTCAGTGCTACAAGGTTAACAGATACTAATTGGTAATGCAAGTGCTGGAACTAAGGTAGACACCTAACTAGGTTTTTCATAAAGTAATGGCAAACTCCCCTTGCACTCCAGGACTTCAGTCCAGATTCTTAACATATTACACTGTTCCAACAGTACTAGAAGACCACAAAATCTTTTCAGAGGTATAAAAATAGTGTTCCTTCGTCACATAGTACTTCTGTGACTTTGCTCAGCTTCAGAAGGCCGACAGTCATGGGGCACATAAGCAAAGCAGTTCTGCTCAGTTTGCTCTAATTGGTGCACTGAAAGAAGCCAAGAGTTGAACTGCTGTAGAACTGCAGAACTGAGTACTGTGACTCTTCCTAGTGTAAGATGGAGGAAAAGATCAGGTAACACTCAAAGAACAGAAGGAAAATGTGACACTTGGAAGCACCCACCTTGGGTTTTGGCTTGTGTGCCTAAGTGAAATATAAGGTTAAACCCAAGGCTTAGGGCTTTGAATGAAAAAGAGTAGGAGTGTTTGTCTTGGCAGTTTGGTTTTTCTCAGACTTCCGTAACTAGAGTAACTGTGTATTAGTTCAAGATTCCAGCACAACAAAACATTGAAAAGCAATGCTAGTCCTAAAGATGAGCAAGAAGGACCTAAAAGCTTTGAGATGCAGAATCTCCTACTTTTCAGTGATTCAGAAGTAACTAAATAGTGAAATTAGTTAAATAAAATACTTAGCTAGGCTGACATACCCAGGAAGGAGTGGGGAATGGGTAGTATGAGTCACCAGCATCACAGGCCAAACTGCACATTGCTATTATTGATCCTTTAACTTCCAGAATTCTAAAACTATGAAAAAATTGAATACTGAACAAACTATGGTCTTGTTTTTAAACCCTAGCTTTCCTTCTGATGTGATGCATTCAGTGTTTGCTTTCAGTGCCTCTGTAATCTGAAAATTTGTGAAAGTGCAGTTGAATGCAAGAGCAGATTGTCTGCTCCAGTATTAATGCTATTTTAGAGTCTCATGTGCTCTCCATACATTGTTATTTTGTGGATGGAAAATGCAGGCATCTGAAGCGGTATGGTAGCTCAGCGGGGTTGGAGGGTGTAGCACCACGCTCATGCCTAGTTTGGCTCTCATTCATAACAAAATGAAGCCATCTAAAAATAGCTGTAGACTGGTAGAGTTTCCCGGCATCCTAGATGGACAGCAGCACATGTCAGTCTGGTCTCAACCTGTGTTTTACTCCAGTAATAGCACAGACTTAGACTGGTATGCAACATCACTCCATCTCCTTTCCTGGATGCTGATAAGGCCTCTTAGCATGACAGAGGATAGCAAGATTAAGGCTGATGGTTCAAATATCTTCTTGGAGTCTTTAATGCAGGAAGGTTTGCTAGTACTTTAGTTCAGCACTACATAGTAACACTCTCGTCTCTGTGTAGAGTTTAGGTACCCATTTTAGGAATTATCTCTGCCAGCTACTTAGGCTGTTCCCAACCTATTGCCTTGGCAAAGACTTTATGTTGCCCAGACCTATACTGAGATGTGATGCAGACTGTGAACTGAAGATGATGACTGAATGCCAAGGTGGAATTTGGCAGACATGGCACTTGTATACTCTTTTCCTCATTCAAATATGAGCTCCTATTGCCAGTAACTCTTCTGCTTCACAGTTCTTCCTTATTAGAGCCTGATTACTCACTAACTAAATGGTTAAACTGCCTTCCTCGAAGTGTTAGGCTTTCAGTAGTGTAAAGCCCATAGCATTAGTATGTTAACCTTGGAATAATTTTAAAGTGTGTGTCCAGCTTTTGGGAAATGCTGTGTTGTAGGCACTATTAATGTGCAGACCACTTGAGCCACTCCTGGTAAGTGTGCGAGTTTTGTTGCTCCTATTAACACAGATGTTTTTATTTTGAATACCTGATGCATTAGGGAACAGATCCTGCGTGTGAAGGCTGAAGAGGATAAAATTCCTTTACTGGTAGTGGGAAACAAATCTGACTTGGAAGAGCGCAGACAAGTGCCTGTAGAAGAGGCCAGAAGTAAAGCAGAGGAATGGGGTGTGCAGTACGTAGAAACCTCTGCCAAAACTAGAGCGAATGTAGATAAGGTAAGACGAATGACATGCGTTCAATTAGAGCATTACTGCTTGTTTAGTATCTGATTCTTTCTGGGACAAGAGCAAATCCACAGTTTGGCATCTGAAAGCCTAGTTTACAGAAAAAAAAAAATCATTGAATTTACTGGAATGTGTATACTTAACCAAATATCTAGCTTAGAGGAACCTGAGATCTGGAACAAGGTAATGCTATTGTCTTGTTTTAGCTGTTTGTACCAGAACCAATAGCTTTTCAATAATACAGAGGGTAAACAGTTCTGAGGATTCCCTGAAGTATGGTTATTTCGTTTATAACACCAATAAATAACAAGCTAAGGACACTTAAAAATTGTCCCCACTTCCCCATAAAGCTATGGGTGGTTAATCTTAAAGACTTGTTTTCTGCCAAGACTACTTTGAATTGTGAGAACTCTTCTTACTGTGTCTCTATCCTGTTTTGACTTGTCCTTGCTGATATAGGATTAATATTTTTCCATTCTTCTGTGGCTTGTTTCTTGCATAAACAGTGGTGCTGGGCTATTCCAGAGGACAGATGAATTATGACTAATAGAGTATTTGTCCAGTAGAGGGGGAAAAGTAAGTTTCAGTCATCCCCTTGGTTTTGTGCGTAGGGTGGGCTTCTTGAAGAAAAAGGTGCCTTTTTACTTCACGTGTCCATAGAAGATAATCTGAAATTACTGTTGTGCACCCTAAGAACTCCAAAGGTGTCTTGATAATATGCATTTCTTTAAAAATTACAAATTTTAAGCAGTTTTCTCTTTGGATAAAAAACTCTTACAGCTAGCTGTACTCTTAAGTTCTCCTAAACAGCTCCCTGTTCTTCTAGTCTATATTAGTTCACTTATGGAAATGCTGTTGGTGCACAAGTTACTAATAAGAACTCCTTCTCTCATTAAAACTGTGTATATGAAACTCTTGAATTGAGATCTTTTGGTTATACGTGGACGTGGCACAACCTGAGTTTTGGTAAAGAACTGTAGAACCGTTTTGACTTGCAGAATGTTACTAGCAAGTCACAATCAGTTGCATAAGATGAGGGATATAGTAAAACATGAATACTTAGCTCACAGGCAAAAGCAAGTCTATCTAATATTACTAGCAAATGCCAAGCCTGTTTTGTACTTAAACTGTCTTTCTGTTCAGTTGGGATTAACAGCAATGGAGCTGTGTGTCTGCAGTGTGATCCAGAGGTGATCTAAGCAGGGTGATCTAGACTTGCTGTAATAGGTCTTGACTACCCAGCTTGTGTGCCATACTGGTTATCCTCTATATGAGCGGTTTTGTGTATAGTAAGACAAGGTATTGGTCTTTGTGAGGATTGTGTATTAATACAGCAGCAGAATAAAAAAAACTTTTAGGGTTTTGAAAGATAAACAATCTATTTCTAATCAGTGGCACTGTGTTGTTTCCAAGTATCAAAGACTTGAAAGTTCCCCATTTGAAAACAAAACAAAGCACCCTAATTCTATAGAGTGACACTAAACTCTTGTTCTATAATCCTAAGAATCATTTTTCCCAATAACTACAGCAAAACAGCTGTTGTACCTGAAGTGGTATGTACCTAGATGTCAGGCATACAGGGCTGAAATCGGCTAGAATTTTGGAGAAAACAACAGTGAAACATGAAAAGAAAGCATGACTTTCTCTGAATTTTTCTTCTAACGTAGTCTGAAAATATTTTGTACTTGACACTGTCACTTCTCTGCTGTAGCTTTGTAATTATAAACCAAGCAGAATACTAAAACAGAGTGCGTGTGTAACTACATGGAAGGGACTGGACTAAATGCTTTTCATAGTTAACAAGAGTGATTTGCCTCTAAATGTTTGCTAGGCACAGACAAATGTTCTCATGAGCTCTGAATGCTGCTTTTGTGCAAGAATGGTATTTCATAGAAAGCTCTTAAAACAGGCCTATTGAATTTTTTTGATAGCCTGGTAAGATTGTGCAACTTTTTTGCCCTGCTTGACATACTACATAATTCTGATGTTGAGTTTGTCACTGGGGTCTGTGTCTAGACTCACTTCAGCTGTATTGGGTACAGTGTGGTCCTGCATCTTTATTTGCTGCTGAATACAGTAGTTTTGATCTGCTTTCTGGTGGCTGATCTTGTTTAATCTCTCTTTATTTTTCTTTCCCAGGTATTCTTTGATTTAATGAGAGAAATAAGAGCAAAGAAAATGTCAGAAAACAAAGACAAGAATGGCAAGAAAAGTGGCAAGAACAAGAAAAGCTTTAAAGAAAGATGTTGCTTACTGTGATGCTTGGGAACTGTAAATATCTATCTACAGGTGGCATGGATAATATACCACTAAGGATATAGGGCTGGATTCATGAAAGGAAGTCTGTATTGACTCCTTTATCTTTTGCTTTGCATATCACACCTTCAAAATGTGAAAACAGAACTTTGAAACCATTTCTGGTATCCAACAAAACCTTTGTCTACTTAAACTGAAATGGGCTCCTTCTTCCCAGTGTCTTTCAAAACTAGAAACAGTTTCAGAACTACAGTCCTTCTGCTTGGTTACATAGTATATACTTTTGTATTAACTCCTTCTAATGTTTCTCTGTGTTTCTCTTGAACCTCTACTGGCCTTAACAAGCACAGCTGTTCAGGTTCAAACACTCTTTCCCGCTGTTGCTGCCCTCCTTGATGGTGCAAACTGCAGAAAGGCTAGATGTGACACCTGGTAAAGGGTTTGAGTCTCCATCTTCTGTTGTCACTGATATTTCTTACATTGAGATCTGCTGACTTCCTCCCCACACTCCATGTAAGAAATAGCAACTGACAGTTGACAGTCAACTCAAAATAAACTTTCTCCTGTGTTCTGTTTAGTCAATACAGCATTCATGAATCAAGCCTATGGACTCAATTCAGACTTATTTAGGCAATGCAAAAATTGATATTTAAATACTGGCTATATGCACTCCCTGCTGGTCTGTCTTCTCATCCTTAAATTAGTGGTATGGGATGAGAAGATGACTATAAGCCTTTCTTCAAAAGGAATAATGTCGCCATCTCCTTGAAATGCTGTCCTTGGTTTCTTTCATGTATTGTGTCTAGAGTCAATTACGCTCTGCATCTCTCATCCTTCCTCTCCCTGGTACTGGAATTGTGGAAATCAGTGTTGATTAAATCAGTTTTGTTTATTTGGAACACTTGTGATGATAATGTTGGAAAGTGAGAACATCTGCATCTGTCTCTTGTCTTGCTGAAGATAACAATGTTGAGTAAGGATGGGTCCCATCACACAATCATGTCTTGGAATAGGTGAGGCATACATGCTACCTCTCAATGATTAGCTGGCTAGTGAGTTGTATGGTGTCAAAAAGCAAATGAAGTTAAGCAGTTGCCACATCTATTACTCACTGTTAATTTTATATGTAGTGTTTCTGATGCACAGCAACCTAGCACGTGGTGAGTTTTGCTGTCAGTTATGCAATGGTGGTCACGTATTGTTCATCAGAAACAGTCTAGAAATGGAAAAGTCAGTACTTAGCAAGTCCTATTCTCAGCTGACTGAGCTGAGCTTTAAATTAAGTGCAGTTGCCAAAAAACACTTCTGTCACCATGTAAAAGTAAGTCTTCTGATTGCAGAGTCTCTCACTGAATTGTAGCTGTCTTCTGCTTTGAAGGAGTAGAGAGACTTTAAGTACAGACTGTATTTTGCTTATAACTGGATTCTCAAAACACAGTGGCTTGGTGAAAGTAATCCAAGTTGTTCAATGAAGCACACTGCAGCACTAAATTAACAAATGGTGTTTCTTCCTGAGATGAAGGAGTAGTGAATACTATTCAGTACTTAGTGTTGTAATTTGAGGTTGAAAAACATTTTTTAACATGTACTAGATTGCTTTTGTGCATTCCATCTCTGAACTTTGAAAAAAGTAAGATGTGGTAGATATCAGAACCTCCGTTGGCCTGAGGTTTCACAGGGACTTATCACAAACTCACTGTCTTCCATAACTAGTTCAACTTGTCAGGCAACTCAATGGATTGGGGGAACTGTACTAAATAAAAGGTGCTGTAATCTTCATTCTTGTCAAATTAAATTCCTTCTCTGTTACTGTTATCTTGTATGGGCAGAAAGAATGGTTAACCAATTCTGGAAATGCTTCTCTTTGAGCAGTGTAATTAATTGCCAACTTGACAATACTGTTTTGAAGCAGAAGCTGGAAACCTGCTGGTTTGCAGACCTTGCGCTTGAGCTCTGTCACCGGTGTCTAAAGCCGAAGCACCTCATAGGAAACTGGGAGCTGTAACACTTCTATCAAAGTTTCCTCTTGAACTTCCATGGACAAAAGTCCATTTTGAGTGCATACAGCAAATGAATGTCTTCTTCCAGAGGAAGGCAACTCACTTAGGTTTGGTTTTAGTTGAGACTTAAAGGTTTAAGTCCTTAATTAACCTAAAGGATAAACAACAGTTGAGTTAATATTGCAAGTTTATTTGGATCAAGCCCCTCCGAGGCAGATTGGAAAACATTAACAAAACTGAATAAACTGTCCTTGCTGTATGAATAATGAACTCAGCAAAGCTCGCAATGAGCAGCTCAGCTGTATTGGCTCAAGAGACTTGCATGCCTTGGCCTTTGATCTTTTTAGTCTTAAAGTACCTGACAGTATTTGATAGGACAGATGAATTTCTTGGAACAGCAAGTCTCCCACTAGTGTTCTTACAGTCCGTGTGCTGTTCTCACTCAGGTTATTTTTCTTTTTTTTGTTCCAACTGATAAAGCTACACCACTGAGATGGACTTGGGAGAAGGTGCTTGCTGTTTCGTGGCTTGGTGCTGCATTTCTTCAGTGTTCTGTGCTTGTCACCTGCTCCAGAAAAACCAGGCCTGGAGACTAAGTAAAGCAGCTTTTCACTATTCCTCTTCTGTACTCGTGACAAACTTCAGTTTAACTTTCCAGTTACAGCTGAAAACAGGATAAACGAGGCAGCTACCTTGCTGACTTTGTAAAAGTGGGCAACAAGCCTTCTGACTTGTACCAGGAAGGGTCCCCTGGACTGGAATCCTGTTGCCTCCACCCCCTATAGTGGAAGTGCCTGAATGTATGCCCTTCTAAATAGGGGCAATATGACTTGAGGGTCCTTAAATGGCTTCCAGGTGTGCTTCACTGGACATCCATGGACATCACATCAGGTGGGTTGAGTGGAGTGAGTATAAAATGGCACAGAGATAAAATGGGATTCCTGTGAGCAGAGTAAATGGAGCTTTCACTTCTAATCGGAACGAGTAACTACAGGTACCTCAAATAAGGATGACTTTGACAAGAGGGGGTGTGTGTGGCTACCTGCTAGCCATGGTGTGTAGCTGAGGCAACTGTTTGCGTGTTGGGTAGTTAAAGAACAAGACTTCATTGGTATACTGTGCTCTTAAATCATTCTGGAGCATGGCTGTAGGCAAGTAACTGGATATTTGAAGCTGGAGGTCATGCAAGACTTGACTATGCACTTGCACTTAAGCATTCAAGTATTATTCTTGCATAATGGCTTAACATAAAGTCAGGGAACTGTTTACTGCTACGTTCAATCTTCCATATGTGGCTTAGCTGTGGACGTTCAAGTGCTCGTTTTCCTTCTCATTTGAGCAGAGCAAACATCTGAGACGAGCCCCTGTTATCACAAGGGCTAAGTCATTATATGAAAAAAAACAGATTAAACTGCAGGAGTGCAATGGCAGACTTGACTCTTCTTTTGTCTAGAGGAGCATCTCTCCAGGTGAGAGTACAGATGCAGCATGAAGTGTGCCACGTGTTCTATACAGACTAATCCACCTTTACTGCAATTTCTAGGTGAGCACTTGGCTTGATGAAGAGAAAGATGTGTGCATACATTTACTAGGCATTAAACTTAAGTAACATGTTTATAAGCATCTGAAGTTCCGATTGAATCTTACCTGGCTTAAGTATAATGCTTAAGAATACTTTAGGTCTAAGGTACAAAGCTGCGATCTGGAATGTAGTGAGAGGAGTGTAGGGGGGAAATACATCTAACTAAAAGCTCACTCGGATCTCTTTTTTTAAGTTTTCCAAAGCATTAACCCAGTATTTGGGCCTAACAGGTCTATCAATTCTTGCTCAAAAAGAGGATACTGTTTATCAGTTCAACTCAGAGCTTGTGTAGACAGAAACTTTCCTTAATTGCTATAAGCATATGTTGCAATGTTCACCTCCTGTTGACTTTATAGTTGGTAGAAGGAGGGAAGAGGAACAAAAAAAGCTTTGATTTTCACTGTAATCTCCACACTTCATGGAAATGGCAGGTGTTCCTCTTGGGAGGGGAAGGTGTTATCTCTAACACCAAGTGAGAGGTTTAGCGTAGAGAAAGGGATTGTGATTGCAAGACTTAATAAAACTGCCTCTAAACTCTGTATGCTATACTATACGATGTAAATTCTTATTTTTTTCCTTATGTAGCTTCAGAGCTTTGTCTCTAACTTGCACAAACATTTCTAATGTCTGTAAAACTGGTCACTTTTCATTATCATGCTAATACAACTGATTTGTATTACTATTGATAATAAAAAGAAAAAATGAGCTTCATAATTTGTTTGTTATTGATTTTTACAGCATTCTAAAAGCATGTCTAATCCCCAAATTCTTGAACCAGCCAACCACTGACTTTCAGTGTCTGGAACTAACCTTTCTATCAAATATATAACAAGATTGAATTGCAGATTGTGGGAAGAGAGAGGAAGAGGAGGAGGTGACTGAGACGCTCATCATTGGTTTTCTGGAAATGGTATGCATGTTTTTTGGGACTGAACTGACATAGTAGTTTGATGCGTTCACAGTTAATTTTCCACAGTCTAATTAGATCAGATAGCTTGTATCAACTGTGTAAATGACGGAGTTGCTTTCCCTTTTCTTGAGTCTTGTGGCTCAAATAACAGAATAAGCAATGCTGTATGGGAAAATTGGTCCTTAGTCTTCTGAGTGTGCCAGATTCCATTCTCCATGTAGGGTTGTGATGAATGAACTGCAGCAGAGAAGCTGAGATGTCTCTGAGGCAGGATAGCTCAGGAGAGACTCAGGGCAACCTGATGCCACTTAATTTGGAGTGGCAGAGAAATGGGATTCACAGTAGGCTTGGGGTGCAGTTTCTGCTGCCACTGCTTTGCAAGTTGGAAGTGGAACATTGCCTAGCTGATGACTTCTGGCCAAGGACTACATCAATTTACATAATCTTGTTAACATGGTGCTTGTCTGGTGTTTGCCCTGTGCTTCAGATTGCCATGGTGGTTTATGTAGCTCTGCTTTCCAGGGAAGTAACTTTTAAAATACTCTGTGGCAGAGAAAGGGTAGCATGGAAGGTGTCAGATAGGAGAAGGGTCTGAGCACAGCTTTGTATTATAGCTGTGTTCAAAGCCCAGAAATGCACTTTTTTTTCTTCTGATCCTCTGTGGATGTTTGTAAGGAACAGGCTTTCCTTTAGATGCAGCAGGATGAAGCTGGAGAATGACTGCTCGATATAGCTTGGCTTCTGCCTTCGTGCTTGCCTGTGTTGTGGCCCAACTAGAACACTTTAGTGTAGTTCTGTGAGCTAAGTGCTCTTACAGTTCCTGGGATGTAACAGTCAGCTCTTCCTGAGAACTGCTGGCTCCATCTTGTGGATTTAGGAGTTAGAAGCTCTACCACGGAGAGGGGCTGTTCAGAATGCTCAGATGAGCATACAAGTCACTGCTATTTATCTGCCACCTGACTTACATGTAGAAATCCACACTAGCTAAATTCTTCTGGTTTTGTTACTCCACTGTATGATTCTCTCATGCAGTATGAGACCTTGTTCTAAATTTAAATTTTCCTTTTGCATGCAAATGCTAATGTTAAATCTTGCCTAAACATTCTTCTGTGCAGTAGAACACCCAGTTTCTCATAAGGATGGTGGATTTACGTTTTCTATGGCATTAAACCAGTTTGCATTGCAAGTTTGTTCTGCTCACTGAGCACTGATTTGCATGCCAGAAAGAATACTTATTGTTCCATGAGACTGTGGAGTACTTCACAAAACATTTTGTTTCTAAGGGTGACTACAGATGCTGGGCTTTCTTTGAAATATAAAGGCTTAATTTGGGGGTGGAGCAGAGATCCCACCCCCCTTTCTCCCCCCTCAGGGCCCTCAGTCTTTCCTCCCCACCCCCAAGCTACTCAGTGTCTGTTATGGGAATAGGATCTACTGGGGATATACCAGCAAATGGCCCCTTAAGCATTGTAATCCCAAAGGGGTTTGGAAGTAAAATGTTGAGGTGAGACTGGGATCATGTGCTCTGCGCTTGCCTTCCTGACAGAGCTGATTAATCTCCAGAGTTTACGGTAAGTTCCTTTCAATGAGCTTTGTTACTTGGCTTTGAGGCAGAATCATGTTTTCGATATAATCAGAGTTTATAGAGTTTGTTTTTAAAGTCTAGCATTCAGGGTATTGGAGGTTTTATGCATATTGGCTTCATAGGTCAAGTACTAGAATTCAAGGACAAACTTGTGCACACATGTAGCATGGAGAGACAAGGAAAGTTACTCCCTACTGTTTAATAGTGCTCTGTTTTTGTTTTAAAAAGGAAAACACATACAACAAACTGAACCTGCTGTTTGGATGAGTGTTTCAACCTGTGGTCTCTAAGAGTGCTCTGTAATATGATTACTCCCCACAAAATGATGGCATTACAATTCTGTATGTGTAAACAAGGAAAACAACTGTGGACTGGGGGAAGGAGTAATTATATGAAAAAATAGCGAAATTCTTTCTTGCTTCTAAATGAAAACCATCATGGCAATACTGCCCAAGAAATTCTGAAATTTTTTTTACCCCTAAACGTTTGGCTTTTCAGTTTTAGAAAGGCTGTTGAGAACCTGAGAGAGATGGTCCTGGTCAGACACAGACTTCCCTGACAGAAGAATCGTTTCCTGGAGTGACAGTCTTCAGAAACCAGAAGTTAAAGCTGTTTTCTGCTTGGAAGCTGGTGCTATGAAAACCAAAACCTACTAGGTCGCTGAAAAAATGCCTGCAGGGTGGACTAGGTGTTTGGTTTTAA